TTGCTTACCATAGGGAATTTTAGGATTGAAAGAAATTACCTCCTTGACCAAAACCAAAGCTTGGTCCACTATGGTTAAAGTTTCAACCTTATGAGTTAGAAAGTCCTCCTCTTGCAAACCATTCCCCTTGTTGGCATAAGAGAAATTTAGATGGTTCCTCGAATTAAGATTATATGTGTTTGAAATCATCCCTTGATTTTGGAATTGTCTTTAACCATATTGTGATCTCCCATACATGGAATTTACCTGCTAAACTTGATGAAGGCAATTGGATTCAAGATGTGTAGAGGAATCACAAATGGTACAATAATAAGGGACCAATGCGTTAGACATGCCAACATTATGAACTTGGCCATAAGATGCAAAAGACATAGGAGCTTGTGAGAGATGTGCAACACTAGTATGGTTATAAGATGAGGGCATTTAGCTAACAACCCTTGAAATCAATTCCAATACTCATATAATGTCTCATCCTCCCCTTACAAAATAGTATAAATGTTTTTCTTAAAATTTGAAAATTTAGAATTGGGGAAGAACTTTTCAAGGAACAAACATCTCAATTCAGCCTAAGTGTGAACTTTTAAAGTACCATTCCTTAGCATTGCCCTCAAGAGCGAAGACAAAAGCCTTGGCTTACACTTCTTCTACTCTAACATATGGGGGTTTTATATTATTGTAAACATGGAAGTAAGATGAGAGGAACCTATGGTAATCTTCACTAGGAAGGTTATGAAATTTAGGTAGGGCATTTAACAAAGAGGGTTTAAGTTCAAAATCTAGACTATGAGTAGCTACATACAAACCATAGGGATTTTCATCCTAATATGGTTGCGTAACTTGCCTAATTGACCTCTCTTCATTTTTTAATCCATTGTTATTCCCATTATCCATAAAATTCTCACCATTCCTCTCACCATTACCCTTTCCCTCATGCATATGATTATGATTATGGGTTGGATTCTCATCCTCAACTTTTGTAAAATTTTCCATGACTTGATCAAAAACTATATGATTGTTTTGATGCAAATGTAACCTCCTAAGTTGCCTAATTGTATGCTCAATTTCAAGATTTAAGGGAGCTAAAAGGGATGGTTTTCCCCTCTTCATGGACCAAAAAAATGCCCCAAATCAAAGAAAACAAGCAACAACACTCAAACAAATTCAAGCAACAACAAAAATGCGACAAAAAAAAGAAACACATAAATGAAAATAGAAACTAAGAAAATGACTAATCCTTATACAAAACTTAAATTGGATGCAAAATATAAGAACTTGGGAGTGCAATTAATACTTTGGACAGCTCCAATTCAAATAAAACACTCAAAACAAAGAAACACATAAAAAATAATTGAAAATTACAAAAACACTAAAAAATTGAAAAGTCATTGAAGATGATTGAACTTAGCCACATTTCCCGAGGTCTAATAGCAAAATCTATTAAAAATGTTCACTGGCCCTAAAAAACTCAAAATATGTGGGTTCTTGAATTTTCTAGGCAAAATTCAAAAAAATTCCAGCAATAGTGAAATTTCAAGACAATAACTAAGACGAAAATAATTTTGTAAGTTTTTTACTTAAAAATATAAAAAAATTACCTGAAAATGAAAACATGGAGAGGACTATAAAAACCAAATATCACATGAAAATCACTCACATTAACTAAAACACAACAAAACTCAAAAAGACTCAAAATAGGAAAACAAAGTGAAAGTATGTGGAAATGAATGGAAATGTGAAAAAGAATGAAGTGATGCAAATGTAATGATATGGAAGCAAGATGGAAGAGATGAAAATGAGAGTGAAGCACCAAGAAACACAAAAATTCAATCCAAAACAACCTCCTTGGCAACGGGGTCAAAAATTGAACTAAGCGATCGCACACTTAGCAATTTAAACTAGATTAATCAACTATATAGCATAGTGGCAACCTAGTCATTTCTCAAAGAGATGTTTAAAGATTAAATCTAGAGCTTCTTAATGCAATTAAATTAAAATAAAAATCCCAAGAGTTGATTGATTTTAATTGATTTAAACTAAATCCTAATTAACCTAATTAAGACCTAAAAACTTAAGCTAATGAGTTTGTGAAAATAAGATGGAATAGGGTACTTGGAGTTAGATTAATGATCAAATCCTAACCACTTATGACATGTAAATTAGCCACCCTTAATTCTTTTCTTCCTAACTAAATTATGAAGCCACTAGGATAATTCTCTCTAGCAACTTAACTTCACTAGGGACCCTAATTAAGCCTAGGATTCTAGAGCCCAATTCAACTCCCTAATTTAGTTTTAGGCCCGAGTTAGGTAATTAATGGAAAATTTCACCAAGTATGTTCAGCTCTTTACAACTGAAATGACCCCTAAAATTATGGTAGATTACAAGCAAGCCCAACAAACCCTCCTCAAGATTATAATAAAGTATAAGCTAGATTAAAACATTCAAGAACAATCAAAATTATGACACATTCAAGAGTGGATGAAATATATAGCTCAACATATCAAATAAAATTTAACAATAATCAAATCAATCTCCATACATAAATGTCAACCAAGATTATGGTTGTAAAGCCAGGACATAGCAATCCAATATTATGGTCTGACAAGTCTATTAAGGGAGAAAAATTAAGACAAAAATAAAAGGATTACAAAATTGAAGACCTAAATGGTTCATTGAGCTTTCATCCTCCTCCAAGCACGCAAAATTATTTTGCCTTTTAAGTTCTTCAAGTCCTCTATGAAAAGCTCAAATTGGCCAAACCTCTCTATGAAACCAAGTAGAGAATGAAGCCTGAAATGGATGATCAAGTGGTAAGGATATGTGTAGAGGGAAGTGTGAGGAGAAGAATAGGAGTGATTTGGTGATGATCCAATGGTTAGATGAAGAGAAATGAAGGAGAGAAAGGGGCTGCCATGACTAGAAAAATGAGAGAAAATGAGTAACAAGAGAGAGAATGTAAAATGCAAATGAAGGAATTGGTGAGAGATTGTGTGTGGTGGCTAGGATTACTTCCTTAGGTGAAATGGAGCTAATGGGTGCATGTATTCAGCTACTCAATGGGCAAAAATAAAACAAAAAGAAAAAAAAAAAGCTAGGGTGAGATACACACTTTTCACATGCTCAAATAGATGGCTTCCTCTCATTGGATCAAAGGGAATACCCTAAGTAAGAATATTCTCATTTATGATTTGATTATTCTCTCCCTTTTTGGCCCATAAATGATGCCACATTTTTCTTTTTTAGCCCACTTCCATGATCCTTAACCAATTGCAAAATGTCCAAGTCAACATGTGCTACCTAAGTTACAAATGTATATAAAATCAAAATCAAATATTCATCTAACCTAATAAATAAATCCTTGCACATGAAATTAATTAATTATTATGAAAGAATATTAATAAAGTAAAATTTAAGGGTCATGACACGTGAAAGTTCATGCATGCGCATAAAACCCTAATTCAGTTAACAAAATCAACAACGCCTAAAATGTTATTTTTATTTTATAACTCCTAAACCAAATTGAATTTTGAAAAACTAATTTTATATTCATTCTTTAGGGCATAAAATACATGGAACACAACATTAACCCAATTTTTCTTAAAAAGTACAATTTTGGATCAAAATATCCTTAGTACACAATTTTGCCCCTTAGGCAATTTTCTTACTTTTGACACCATGAACACACTAAAATGAGAAATAAAACATTTTAAAATGGGTCTTAAATGAAAGGATAAAGTATGTAAAATATGAGTATTATCACTTTGTCATACAAAACTTTGACAATAGAATTATTTCAACAAGAAGCAGTCCAAGAGTTGAAATTTTTAATATGATCAGATATTTTTGAGAGCATTAGAATCCCGCTAAATAGGTTTCGACCAATGAGTAGGAGTAAGAGTGATGGCTTCTCCATTACCAACTTTCCAGTGAAGGTGTTTTTTGATGATGTCAGCAACCTTATAGATGCCTTTCCAATACCATGAAGCATTATATGATAATTTAAAACAAGAAACATCAGTATTTGAGCAATATTTGAGTTGCAAATTATATCCAAGAAGAGAAAGCTTCTTTGTTGCCTTCATCCTCCAAATTTATTTAGTTAAAAGGCTAGTGTTCGCAAGAATCAAAATAAACAAGTAGTCGTGTGTGTTCACCCAAACAAAAAACATAAGAAAAATATAAAATCTATTTTTCTCTTTAAACCTTTTTTTAGAAGTATGAACATTTATACTTAATAGTGGAGCAATAATCCTTCTAAACAGGGGTAGTTATAGCTTCTGTCGTACATCTCAAGGGACAATTTTAGCGGAGAAAATTGTTGTACAAGAGCCTTTGGCTTCCCTACCCACCATAAGCCAACCATTACGGAAGGGATACCTTGGTCTCCATTCGTGCCCAAGTTGATCCCGCAAGTGGTGCCTCTGCGGCTAGTGTAAATGGCGACGAAGGATTTAACAATGAGGTTGTTGAGCTCAGACTTGGCAAGATGAAAGGTAGTGGTGACCTAGGGGACCTATGAATTAGGGAAAGTGTGGGCAAAAAGAAGGAAGGGGACGAGGGCATATTGAGGATGGAAATTCTTGAGGGATGAGCCGCCATGGAAGCGTGGTAATTGAGCAAAGAGGACGAGTTTGTTGAGTCTCTTCTTTTGAAAAAAAAATAATAATAAAGGGCGTTATGGTCATTAATCTTCAAAACTTATTTACAATTAATTGCTTTGGTCTTGCAGAATTTTCAGAATTTATTGGATCCAATTTGAAATAAAATCTCATCTATGGTATGGAGGGTAATCGATTTGAGGCTATCGAGTTATATCACAGTGCTTTGAATCAACTATCTAAGGCAATGAAGAACGGGAAACTTAAGCATAAGATTTTCCAAAGCTTTAAGAAGGCAGAGGAGAGATGGTATCTGCATGAGATGGGATTTACACGATTAGATGTTGAGGGATCAATTGACCAATAAGGACACACCACTTGTGGGGGAGTTTTCAAAGATAATAATAAAAATTGGCTAATGGGATTTCAAGGATTTCAAAAGAAATGCTTAGATTAGGAGTGAAAACATTTATAATTAGATGAAGTGTATTTCTATTAATTTTGGACAGAACTACTATGATAATCCGGTAGCACAGTGGCAACTTCTACTGGTGCTTTTTTTCAGGTTACAGGTTCGATTCTGTCGAGGGAAATGATTACAAAATTACTAAAATGCCCTTGAAGGAAATGACGCTCAGATTAGATATTTTACTCCCTCTCTTCATTTTTCCCCTTTTTATTTTGCTTGGTAGAAGCTTCAGGATGCTTTGCCTCCTCTTCCTCCCCCTTTGTCTTTCAATCTCTGTCTTTCCTCCTCCTCTCTCCACCGTCGCATCCTCGCCCTAGCCGCTGTGGATGCAGAAGTTTTGTCCACACTACTGATGGAAATTGGGTCGTGAGACGATTCTTTTCCTCCCCTGTTTCAAGTGGCCCAAATCATCCCCTCTTCCTTGTTAAAGCTTCGATCCTCTTCCATCATTCCTTTTCTGCATTGCTTGGAATTAAGCAGCGGCCCACATTGCGAAAGTGACAGTAAGTTATGCATTTAAAAATGCATCAAATAAGTAAATAACATTTCAATAAATTTACTAACAAATTTTTTTTCATTGAGATATTATTTTTCTTAAAATACATTTCATGTACTATTTCAAGTGTTTAATGTTTTGATAATTATATTGTTTTAAATTCTTGCAATTGTAATTTATATGGTGAAAAGTAATGAAATTATAATATGTCTATATATTCATTGTAAAATATATCTTGAAGGTTGGTGAAAAGTTTTATTAGCTCAAATAGTAAATTTTTTTTATTGTATATATATATATATTTTTTATAAAGGTAAATGTAGAATTAGTGAAGAATTTTATATTGAGAAGGATTGAGATTTTAAAAGGTTCATACAAGTTTAATATTAAGAATACAATCTTTTATTTTGAAAATGATTAATTTCTCGCATGTTTGAAAGTGTAATTTTTTAAAAGACTAAACGCAGAGCACTGATTGCTAATGGTAGTTTTGTTAACCCTTAACGTACCTTGATCAACGACTAATTAGTTTGATTTTCGTGAGTTTTGTTCTTACGTCTGTAATTCGTGGGTCTCATACCTACGTATGTTTCGTGACTTTGACCATGTCTGGTTAATATTTGTTTCATGGCTTCGACTACACTCATGGACTGTGTGTCCATGTTTATTTTCGTGGCGTAAGCATTTACTTATTTACTCTCGTGGATTATGTGTTCACGTTTGTTACTTGTTTTGCAAAGTCTTTAAATTTAATTGATTTGTGAATGTATATATTTATAAACGCTTTACTGATTTTAAACAGTGAATGTTGTTATTTTTTATTTACTTAACTTATTTTATTTTAAAAGATCAATTGCTAAAATTGTCATTGTAAATTTACTGATTCAATATTTTCAAAGCTATATAAAATCTCTTAATCTTCAAATTCAATTACGTACCAGTTTACTTAATGAATTTATTTATCTTGATTTTTTTAAATTTTATTATTGAGATGTTATTCATTGAACAAATTTTTGGCCTCAAATAGTGTAGATAGCTATGGTGTCCAAGGGATCAAAGAAGGGTATATTTTCAAATTGAGGTTAAAGCATTAATTTGATTAAATTTTTATTTGTTGTGAAACTTGATTTTATATATTATATTATGTGATTTGTAAATTCTATTTTAAATGCTCCACATAAACTATACTTAAGATCTTTGTATTAGTTAATTATTTGTTTGTCTATTATTGATAAAAGCAAAACTCATTATTGCTATTTGTACTAATATTGTTGTTGTAGAATGGAGACTTTATATTAAATTTCCAAGAAAAATTTATAACTTTTGTTATAAATAAAATAAAATAAAATAAAATAAAAAAAGGCACTACTCAATATCATGAATGTGTTATAATTAAAATATAGTTGTTGGTATTAAGGCTAAAGGATGTGTGCTCCCATGCATATCCCAAGCTGATCACACATAAATTTTAGGGTGTGACATAATTTCATGTAATTAACATTTTAATTAGTTATCTTCATGCAATGCACAAGATTTGAGTCTTAATAAAATTCAATGTGTATTATTTGTAAAAGTTAAACACCAAGTTGAATTGAAAATGCTAATTTCATCTCAATTAGTTATTATCCAATTGTTCAAGGGAAAATGATAAAGGTTCTAAAAATATCAATTAATTCAAGTTAGATTTTAAAATATTAAATTTTAAAAATTTATAACTCAATCTCTCAATTTTACAACTCCATTATGATGAATTTATAATTTATATTTCAAATTTTAACAAGAAAAATAAATTTTTTTATTTTTTAATCATGTTTTTAAAAAATAAGTTACAAATTAATTATAACGCAACTACAAAATAAAAAAATTAAGACCTAACTTAAATTTTTTAATCATGTTTTTTTATAAATTTTTAAAATTTGACACTTAAAACCTAACTTAAATTAATTAATCCTTTTAAAATCTCTTTGTCATTCTCCCAATTGTTCAAACACTTTTTTTAATGAATTAAAGTTTGAAATTGTCAAAAATTAAAATAATATCGACGATTCATTATCAATGAAAAATAATTAAAATATATGTAATCTTTAATTTTATAACCCATAATCAGGTGTGCTTATACATGACATTTTAAATTAACTCTTAATGAATAAAATTTTATTTCATCTACTTATACATGACATTTTATTTATTATAATTGATCTTGTAATCTAGAAGGGTAACCAAAACCGATCATAGTAAATCAATTCAATAAAAACCAAATAAGACCGATCATTAATTAAGCTTAGTTTTGTTTTATAAATTTGAGAATCGAATGGTTTATTTCAAGTTTTTATTTTTTTTTCTTTGAAGCTTTAACCAAACCCAACCTATACCATTTATATCTTTAAATGTATTTTTTATAATTAATATTACATTATTAATCTTTATTATTTAAAAAATTGTAAATTTAACTAAAGTCCAACCTAAACTCAAGATACTTTAATGTTATGTTTGAATGCATGTGAATTTTGATTTGAATTTGAATTTGAGCTAAATCTATTTTTAAATAACTAAAAATGTATAGATTTGAATTTGATGCAAATCTAAGTCTAACTTTTACCTCATTCTCTTTATAATTTAAAATCCTTTATAAACCCAAGTTATTTCAAATCTTATTTCAATCTTTTTACAATTTGATCACTCTATCAGTGGCATTGAACAAGACCAAATCGCTAGTAATGACCAAGACCAGACTATTGCCACTACCAATTGAGACTAGGCTACCACCGTTGATCGGGACCAAGCTACCATTGCCCACTAAGGCTAGAGCGCGAGCAACAACCGAAATCAAACAGCTGACTTCTACTAGGATGGGACAATCGACACTAACCAAGATCAAAGTGCAAGCAACAACCAAGACCAAACGACCAACTTCTACCGAGATCGAAAGACTTCCATTTGATCCCAGTCAGCACTGGCAGTCTGATCCTAATGGAAGTCAGTTGTTTAGACGATTGATATTGTCCCAATTGCTTTTAAATTCAAATATAAAATTTAAAATTTTACTTAAGATCCAAAAAAGAATTCTAACATTATAATTTGCAATTTTTACGTTATCCAAACAAAAAAATTAAAACTTATAAATTTTAAATATAAGATTTCAAATATGAAATTTCAAATTCAAATACACACATCAAAACACAACCTAATAGAATTCCTAGTCTTAACCCTTCCTTTCTCAAATCTGTTATGAGAAAGTCAAATGCATATACCGATGTTACTTCAAAAATGATCTTTTAAATAATTTTAGATATAGAATTTTTCTTTTTTTTAATTAAAATGAGTTACTTTTAATAATAGACATTAAAACAAGTTGTAATGATCTTTTAAATAATTTTAACTCATGTTACATTGTTATGTACAAATGCATATACTATGTTGTTTATTGATAATAAAATTTGAATATTTTTATGCTAGATATGATGTTTATTTCCTGTATGTGAACGATAAAATGTGAATGTGATTTGAAATTGAAATATGTAAGAAAAAGAAGGGTAAAAAGCTATGCCTAGCCTTAATATATAATTTTGTATGTTAAAAAATATTGAAATTTAATCCATTCACACACCAAACCTAACCAAATTGCCTAAAAACTAAAACTAAACCAAATCAAATCAATCTTAAAAAGACATTGATCAAATATCTTTTTTTGTGCAAATTTGGCTCGGTTCGATTCACGTCTTGACCAAAACCAAACCAAACATCATCTCTGATCACCCTTAGTAATATGGTTTGATTAATACACGAACAATGCATGGGATTTAAGCAATGCATGGGATTTGAGCCTAGTTTGGAAAGAAAATATGTGGGTTCAATATATTATTTGCCCCCAATTTCCTCTCCCTCCCATTCCTTTTTTCCAGGCAAATACTTCAAAAAGAAGCTTCTGATATGTTGTTCCTAAATCTAGCTAAAAAAATAGTTTCACAATTTTTTTTGTATGTTTAAAAAATCAAAAAAAACCTCCATTTTTCCCCCTTCTCTTTCTCGAGACGAGGGCCACCAACAATTTGAAGTCTTGGGAAGAACCCCAAAAAAAAAAAAAACCAGAGAGAAAATCAAATGGAAATATGGGATATGAACAATTTGCAACATGTTTCCTAGTAATAACTCCCATGTAGCCTAAAAGAATCAGAATTACAAGAGCTTTAATGCTCGACCCTTTTCCCTATCACCAAGACAAATAGACAGAAGAGATAATAGCAATTATCCTATAACTTATAAACAGAGGACTAGGTCTTTCCCCATTGTAATTTTCACAAGGTGTGATGCATTCCACGCTAAAAAAGACTAGCAGCTCAGTCCTCGGTGTCTCTCCTTTATATATTACATGGCACGAATAATTTAGTTAGTTCCGTGACAAATCATATTCACATAAATAGCTAATTCACACTTTCAGTCTTTAAAAGATCCAGCTTGTATTGTATCTATTTGGTCCGCCAATGTTCTCCAAAGAAAATTCGTTTTGTGTCATCCTCACATGAAGCCCGTTAAATAGATACTTAACAAAGATGAATGAGATGACTTCAACCAGAAGCCAAAATGGTCATCAAATGCCTAATTGTCACTGAAATACGCCCTGCCTTTCTATATAGAAGATGTCTTCTAGAACCTCTCTCCAGTCCACAAGATATGGAGTTTTGTCATATAAGAATAGAAATGAATCTTTAATTATGTTTTTAAGGAAAATACCTTATCTATAAGCACAGACGAAGTAATCCATAACAAAGAACCTTAGGAAGGTGATGGGGCTACTTTGAGTAATGTGATGCTTTGTCTTGGCACAGTTTCAATGGTAGTTTGGAACTCAGTCACTTCATGTTTGTTAACGAGCTTGATGTGAGGATAATTTTTAAGATAAATTACTCTTTCAAGGAATTAAGCATCAATTTAATCAAAATTATTAGGTTGCCCTGCAAAAAAACTTTTATTACCTTTTGTTCAAAGTTTGGTGCCGTTCATGTATGCCTTGATGGATCCTCGTGCAACTGTGCTGATCTTACATTGGGATCATCCTGCCATAAGGAAGTAGCCATTATAAAGTACTCATTTGGAAATAAGAAACCCACCTTAAACATTAATCTAAAATACTAACTAACCCGAATGCCATATGCAAAACCTGTTGATGCTCGAAAAAAATCTAGCTGTGCCTGCAAATTTAGACCAAATATGAATTTGTCATAAATATAAATATTGTAGACAGGAAAATAATTTTAGCATGAGTTAATTCACCGTACCAGACCAGGCATGCTCTGGTGAGCGCCATAATAACCATCGTGGCTGGGTGGTATGGAACTTAATTGTCCCTACGCATACATAGAACACAGGTTCCAAATCATTTTCATCCACCAAATATTATTTGACTAATTAATCACAATCTCTGACTCACCAGGCCCTGAATAGTCTGTTGATTTCCATAGTAATTATCACGAGTTGGTCCCATCAAGTTTAACTGAACCATCAAGCAACTGATGTACATGTTCACTCGATAACATGGAAAAATACAGAAGACTAAAGTAGATCCTATTCATACCATTCCCTGCACACTCTGTTGAGCACCATAATAACCATCAAGTGTTACAGCCCTCGTGCTGAACTTGTCCTACAAATTAAAATTCCTGTTATTTACAGAGAAGTTCACTTCAATTGACTGTGTTAAGAAGAAACAGGTAAAAATTTAACCAAATTGGAAATCGGATTTCAGTCTTCATAACAATTTCTTCCCTCTGTCCATTATTGCCCAATTAGCGTAAATTTCTTCTGCTAGCTTTAAGGCCCAAAATTTAATATTAAAACTTTCGGAGAGATTTATTGACAGTAGAAGGACAAACCATTTGTTGCAAGTTGTCTTGAGCCCCAACAGTCATCACTTCTGCATCAGAGTTCATCTGCAATTGAAAGAGGAGGTCATGATAGAAATAAAATAGCGACATAGATGTGCGCTAATTGGCTTGCTGATTAAGCTTATCACATGGAACCAGATTATGAAGTTTTTAACTCAATCCCTGTAGGGTGTGGGGGTATTTATATCACCAACATGGATTGATTCTGTTTTCTTTCCACATGGCACCTAGCCATGGCAAATTCTGAAAAAGAAAAGGGAAAAAAAAAAGGATAAAAGAATACATAGATACCATGTTATTAGCACCGACTGACCTTTTTCTTTTTAGCTGGATTCTTCTTTCTGTTTGTCTTGCCCATATTTTTACTCTGGGCATCTTCTTCAGTTGAAAGCTGACCATGACCAGCTGATGTGCCAGCTTCTGGAGGATCTTTACTGGAATTATTGACACTCACACAATTTGCATATGCATCATGAAGCGCATGGAATGCCATGCTATAACTTTCTTGAGACAGCGATCCCTCTTCACTCAGTTTAAGTGCTCTCTGACACAAATCATTGTACCGTTGCACCCTAGCCAGCATATGTTCAGATTCCTCCCCAAGTAAATGCCTTGACTTTGCATCTCTTGTCCACCTTTTCAAAATATACTGAGAAGGGATTGCTGAAAGGCGAGAATATTGTAGAACAATCAATGCATGTCGACAAAGATAACCTTTATATTCAAATAACCGACATATACAAGACACCTCTGATTTTAATTCATTCAACGCAACTGTGAATTCTTGGTTCCTTTCCATATCATGAACCTTGTAAGTAATGCTTGCCTCATCTCGTCTTTCAGCTTTAGGATGACAAGCAACTGCACCAATAACCTCAACCTGAATCTTCTTAAATACTGCATGCGTGTAGATTCCTGCAACACTCTTCTCTAAAGGTGAAGGAGTTTTTAATGTTGCCACTTTATTCCAAGTATCAGAATCTGCTTTTGCTTCCTCTTCATACCTGTCTTGCAATATCGATTCATACTGTCTGACAAAATCTTGTACAGAGGTCTTCTTATGAACATATTTATCAAAGAAGGAATTTATGCTTTCGGATCGCTGGACAGTAGACATGCCACCTAAAAATACATCCTTCATGAATGTTGGCACCCAGAACTTGTAATCTTCGTACATTGTCTGCATGCAATCATCCTCTCGGAGCTCAAACCTATCTACCATTTTCCACCACCTCTTCTCAAACTCATCACTCGTCCATGATCTATGGATACATTTTTCAAATTTTGCCATAAAATTCTCATGTCGTTTAATGACATGACCCAAATTTTCAGATACTTTCCCCAATATGTGCCAAAGGCACATACAATGATGGGCACTGGTCAAGACATCAGAAATTACTGACTTGAGTATCGTGTCATGGTCAGTAATTATCACTTTTGGAACTTGACCTCCAACTGCTTTCAGCCACGTCTGCATCAGCCAAGAATAAGTTGCAGCAGTTTCATCTGATACCAAGGCACACCCAAGCAACATAAATTGATAATGCTGATTTACTCCAACAAAAAGTGCAAGAGGCATCTTATATTTGTTTCTCACATAGGTGGTGTCAAAAGAAACTACATCACAAAAGTTTATGTAGTCATGCCTGCATTTAGCATCAAGCCATAATAGGCTTTTCACCCGTTGATCCTCACCAAGGTCTACAGCGTAAAAGAAGTTAGAATTCATGTTTTGCATCTGTATAAAAAAATCAAGCAGATGTTTGACGTCCCCTGTCTCCAGGCCTAAATTCCGACCTTTATCGAATGGGCTTTTCTCATTCTTTAAACCAACTACAGTTTTGTATTCAGCAAACTGTCTAGCCATAGCAGCATACATTTTCCTTGCTTGCTCACTGACAGCTTGGGCTGGTAAAAGCTCATGATTATGCTCCTTCACAAAACTATGTATAACCCATTTTCCATCTGACCTCCTTTTTACATGCATGCTTGCCTTACAATCAGTCTTTGAACAAGATCTCCTGGCAGTTGAATTTTCAGACTCCTGCTTATTCTGTCTTGCTCGTGGTCGATTGAATGATTTGTTGTCATACTCCCGTTTAGTTCCATATCTGGAACAAGCAAACTTTGCATCGATAAATTCTCTAGATGTTTTTGAACGGCGACTATTTTGAATTGCAGTGTTGAATCCCATTGACCGAGCATACTCTTGGTAGAAAGAATAAGCTTCCCCATGAGAATCAAATTCCATGCCAGAAAGTGGTTCAAGATTTGTATCTTCCTTAAATATTGCCATATCCGAAGTTGGTGAATTCAAATCCCCGCCATCTAGAGCAGGTACACCAGTTTCAACTATATTTCTTCCTTCTATGTCTACATTATGCAATTTTTCGTCACCATCCAATATGTTATCAATCGTATTTGGCTCTTCATCCTCTTTATCATGCTCACCAGAAGGTAACCTAAGATCTATATCCATGATCAGAATAACAATTTGCTGCCTGATTATATTCAAGTGTACCTGAAAAGAGGAGATAACAGATGAAAAACCCAAAAGTCTAGTCTAGGGAAATTGAGGGGTAGAACTAGCCAAAATAAATCTCAGATACATTACAAATAAAATCTGACGCCTTCTTTCATTTCTTTCTATTTTCTTTCATATTTTATTCATTTCCTTCGATGTTGATGTGTGCGGTACATAGTTCATGATGCAGAACCTTTTTAGTTCATCCTATTGGCTCGGCTCATCCAAGATAAATACGCTTTTCAAACAAACGGTAGATGCAGGATTGTACAAATGTCAGATGCCATGTGAACTATCTCATTGTAATTTTTAGCCCATACATATTTAATTATTTTGCTTGCTAATGCTCAGGCAAGAGGAAGTCATGCCTGACCACACTAGGTCACACTAACTGCATAACATCAAATAAGTTGTACACTCATAAAACAAACAGAATGCACAACTTCACCATTACACAGTGCCCATAGGCTAGCTGTGTTAAATTAAATTGCTCTTGTATCTGGCCTGGGAGGCTCCAACACATGTGAAGACCACTGTTACTAGTTTAGATGTATCAGGGACCTAAGTCCCCTCTGTTCTTTCTGACTTAGCATTTCTTCTAGGACCTTGAGCTGTCATTTTTCATCCCGGAAAAAAAAAATCATATTATCTTGCAGGGAAATCTTCAGTTAAAAAAATCTTGCAGGGAAATCTTTTTTTTATTGTTTTTTTCAAGCTTTGCTGCACCAAGTACTATGAAGTCATATTTAGTGCCCGTTTCGATTTCAATTGAATAAATTGATTATGAAAATAATTGATTAAAATGATTGATTTTAATTATAATTGATTATGAAAATAATTAATTTAAATTATAATTGATTATGCTATAACGCAATTTGTTTGAATAATGAAATTAATTTTAACTATACAAATTTCCACAAAAGACATTGATTTTTGAAATTAAGTTATTGATAAAGTTGTATTTAATATTATTAAATTTGTTAAACTTTATTTAAAAAGTAAAATATATTATTTAACAGTAAAATTAAATCTCTAAGCAACCTCCCAGAACTTATTTCAAAACGTAATTCTAGCTCAATAATCAATTATCAACTTTTTTGGCTGTTTGGGTATTTTCTTTCAAAAATCAATTATTTGGGCCCCAAAATTGATTAATATGATAATCCAAACAGGCTGTTACTCTATGTTCCAAACCCAATAGCCTTTCTCATCAGGATGCAAGAGAGGTATAAACATTTTTCTTAGATGGTTAAGCTCGACGTTAACTCCGCCTATGTTTATAGCCGGTCCCAAGCCCGGGTAAAGGAGGAGGGTTGTGTTAGGCCATCAACAGCCAATGTAAAACTTTGTTGAATCTATCATGAACATGGACAATAGACGTTACAATGTTAATGCTAGGTCGTTGCCCGTAAGTAACGTGCTGCATGGCTCGAGTACAGTGATAAGTGAGTTAGAGCCGCTGCATCGGCGCCCGGATGTAGTGTTAAATGAGCAAGGGCTACCGCGTCATTCTGGACGCACGCGGCTAAAGAAGTTAGTCCATGAGAGCAAAATTAGATTTGGTACTTGGAATGTTGGGACATTGAATTGTAAATCTGTAGAGGTTGTCGGGGTTATGATTCAAAGGAAAATCAATATCCTTTGCCTGCAAGAAACAAAATGGCGTGGAGAAGAAGCTAAGTATATTCAAGGTTTCAAACTTTGGTATACAGGAAAAGTAAGTGCACGCAATGGAGTAGGCATCATTATAGATAAGGAGTGGAAGAAGAACGTTGTAGAAGTTAGCAGAATTGGAGATAGAATTATTTCCTTAAAAATGATAATTGGACGTGAGACTGTTAATATTGTTAGCGCTTATGCGCCGCAAGTCGGAACAGAAGCCAATCTTAAGGAATTATTTTGGGAGGATCTGGAGGGGTTGATTCGACACATACCACAAAGTGAAAAGATTTTTATTGGAGGAGACTTTAATGGGCATGTTGGGAGGGAAGCTGGTTAGTATGCGAGGGTGCATGGTGGTTTTGGTTTTGGAGAGCTAAACAATGAAGGACAAACTCTTCTTGATTTCTCATTGGCGTATGATTTTAAAATTGCCAACACTTGTTTCAAGAAGAGAGATGAGCATCTCATCACTTACAAAAATGGAGCCTCAAGGTCACAGATTGATTTTCTTTTGATTAGGAACACAGATAGAAGACTTTGTAAAAATTGCAAGGTGATCCCCGGAGATGCTGTAACGACACAACATAGGGTCCTAATCCTTGATGTGTGTATTATGAGTAAAATCCAAAAACGTCGACAAGTAGTAGCACCAAGGATTAGGTGGTGGCAATTAAAAGGTGAGAAGCAAGATATTTTCAAGCAAAATCTTTTGGATAAAGGAATTTGAAAATCTCAGGGAAGTGCTAACATCATGTGGGAGGATATGGCTAAAAAGATACGGGAGGTTGCAAAAGTAGTTTTGGGAGAATCAAAAGGTTCTGGTCCGAGAGATAAGGAGTCTTGGTGGTGGAATAATAGTGTACAGGACAAAATCAAGTATAAGAAGAACTGTTTTAAAGCCATACATTTGTGTAACAATGAGGAAAATTGGGAGAGGTACCGTATGGCTAAGAAGGAAACTAAGAGAGCTGTGGCTGAAGCTCGTTCTAAAGCTTTTGAAGAATTTTATAAGAGCCTTGAGACGAAGGAAAGAGAGCGAAATATTTATAAGATTGCCAAGAGTAGGAAAAGAAAATCAAGAGATCTAGAACAGGTAAGGTGTATTAAGGATGAAGAAGGAAGAACTTTAGTTACAGATGATGAAATTAAAAATAGATGGGAGACTTACTTTTCTAAACTTTTCAATGATGGAGAGGGTTCATCTAGTAACTTGGAGGATTTAGTAACAGGTGAAGGAGAACAAAATTTGTCATTCTATCGAATAATACGTGATAAGGAGGTAAAGGAAGCTCTTAAGGAAATGGCAAATGGTAGAGCCAACGGACCTGACTGTATATCTATCGAAGCGTGAAAATGTTTAGGTGAAGAAGGGGTGAGATGGTTAACTAAGTTATTTAATGTGATTTTACGGTCCAAGAAAATGCCTGATGAGTGGAGGAGAAGTACATTAATTCCTATTTATAAAAATAAAGGAGATATTCAAATACTAACTATAGAGGGATTAAACTCATGAGCCACATAATGAAATTGTGGGAGAAAGTAATTGAGCACAGGTTGAGATTGGAGACAAGTATTTCTAAGAATCAGTTTGGTTTTATGCTAGGTAGATAAACTACAGAGGCGATTTATCTACTAAGGGGATTAATAGAAAAGTATCATTGTAAAGACAAAGATCTACACATGGTTTTTATTGATTTGGAAAAAACTTATGACCGTATACCAAGAGAAGTGCTTTGGAAAGCGTTAGAAAAAAAGGGAGTACGGATTGCTTATATTAAAGCCATACAAGATATGTATGAGGGGGTAAAAACTAGTATAAGAACGCCTAGTGGTCAAACAAAGGATTTTCCTATAAAGATTGGACTATATCAGGGATCATCTCTGAGTCCTTATTTGTTCAACTTGATCTTAAATGTTTTGACGGAACATATTCAAGGAGAAATTCCGAAATGTATGCTCTTCGCAGATGATATAATTCTTATAGCAGATACAAGAGAAAAGGTTAATTGCAAACTTGAGTTATGGAGGAGGACATTGGAGTCGAAAGGTTTTCGTCTGAGTAGAAGTAAGACAGAATATTTATATTGTAAATTTGGTAAAGGACTATTCAACAATAATTTAGAAGTGAAATTGGGAGATCAAGTTATACCTCAAATGGAAAAGTTTAGATATTTGGGAGCCATTATTCAAAATGATGGCGAAATCAGTGGAGATATTTCACATAGAATTCAAGCTGGGTGGTTTAATTGAGAAAAGCTAAAGGAGTTATTTGCGACCGTAAGGTGCCTAATAAATTTAAAGGAAAGTTTTATCGCATTGCTATCAGACCGGCAATGTTATATAGTAGTGAATGCTGGGCTCTAACGGGACAGCAAGAGCATAAAGTTGGAGTAACAGAGATGAGAATGTTACGATGGATGTGCGGACATACACGTAAAGATAAAATTCGAAATGAGCACGTACGCGAAAAAGTGAGGGTGGCACCTATTGAGGAAAAAATGGTAAAAAATCGATTGAGATGGTTTGGACATGTACAAAGAAGACCAAAGGAGGCACCAGTGAGAAGAGTAGAATATATAACTTTGAATCCGATTAAGAGAGGTAGAGGAAGGCCTAAGAGAACACTTTTGGAAGTTATTGAACGCGATCTGTTAATTAATAATACTCCTAAAAGCTTGATAAATGATAGAGCACAATGGCGTCTTGCAATCCATGTAGCCAACCCCACCTAGTGGGATAAAGGCTTGCTGTTGTTGCTGCTGTTGTTGTTGTTGTTAAGCTCGGCGTTCTAAAATTTGGGCAAAATTCTAATCATGCCACATGATTCACATAACCACAAGATGCATCCCCGTCTGACACAGAAGATAAACATGCCTTCCTAATACTTGTATGGTGCACCAAAGCACCCAAGCAGTTTTAGAGGAAACTTTTCAAAAAGAAAAGATAGTGAAGACTTTGTTATGTTGACAAAATTCCTGAATATGAGATTCAAGTTAAAAGGGGGGGAAAGGAATGTAGGAGAAAGAAAAATAAGATCAAGGGAAATGCAAGTTAAAATAAGAGTAATATGAAAGAAACGGGCAAGCTAGGGAGAATTTCATATGAAAAAATAAATCGCATAATGAAGTAGTCTCCAGCACATTAATTCACATAATGGATATTTTCAGTAACCCAACATTTTGAACATCAAAAGTCCAGACAAAGAGCCAAGGAAATAAAGTTTTTTTAAAAAAAATGCATTAATACACATGTTGTTTGATCAAAGAAATGGTAAGGTCAAATCAATCAACTTACAGGATTAAATCAGCCCAGTCAGTTTTCAGGATTATAGGTATTGGCAAGAAACTTTGTCATTCATTTTATGCATAAGTTATTGTTAATTTTCCAATGTGGTTGCTAATTGACAGAGAGATTAATTTTCAATATCACAATTTCCAATCTTGGAAAAGCTAATGTGAAGTATAAAAAACCATGACATGGGCTTGAGAATCGTAGTTCCAGTACAAAGGAAGAGCTTATAGGAATTAAAGTTTTTAAGATCCATAAACCACCATCATATGCATGAAATATATCAAATTCCTAACAGCATATGCTACTAGTTAGCAAGTACAAAAAGAGCAATTGATTGATGAAGCATTAAAAAAAAAATGAAGGAAAATTATATAAATCCAGATCCATAGAGAATGAGTTGCCACTTGTGACTTGTGTAAGGGCTTTGAAAGGAAAACTATAACTTGAGCAATGAGACAAAGAAGCCATCTAACATGGTTTTAAACACTCAATGGAACAAATATTAATTTCCAGCTATAAATTTCAACAGTGCCTATCCAACTGTGGTAGAGTATCAAAAGGGAATACATGAGTGAAGAGTACATTAAAATTCAAAAAATGAATAAATGAATAATCTCTAACTTTCATTTTGCTACCAAGTCCAACAATCTTAAAACAATCAAAAGGATAACTAGGACAAGGATAGCGAGCGATTGATCTTCAAGGAGTCACGTAGCAGATTTATAAGGTAGCAACTAAACATGTGAGACCAGAACAAGAAGACTAATTGATAGGTATAAAAGGGAAATAGAGACAAACAGTAATATCATTCACAAGACACCCATTACATCCTTAGGACCCTATTTAGTATTTATAGTGAATATAACTAAATTCCCAAACTACCCTTTTCACCCCTAGTTTCCCTAATTACTATTTATAGTGAATATGACTAAATTCCCAAGCCTGCTGCAGTACAACTTCAATCCAAAAGCCCATTATGCTCAAACTATCCATCCAAAATTGATAGAAAACAGCTCATGGAAGATACTCAAATCACTTAAATATTTATAAAACGTCCTTAAATGTATCTTAATCATTCTTGAAACAATGGAGACCATAAATTGGACGTGCTGCATCATCATTAAGAGGCCCACGTCTAGGCTCCAGCTACTTCTAAAAGACATCTGCACTATTGGATCATTTAGCAAAGGCCCAATTCCATTGCCCTTAGTCACCCAAAGTATATTAGATGGGACTTCCTTGCGGTCACATAGAGAATATTTGGAGCAAATCTGAAATACATCTGGCACTAGCAGCGTTGAACAATTTGATCATGGATATGCATAGTTGTAGATGCATGTCCTCCCCACTAAAGAAAATTTGAGAAACATTAAAGAAAACTGAAGACCCGCAACATCCGAAACCATGAAACTGGCAAGTGCATCCAAACTAGGGACCCAAAACCCATATCTCCGAACATCCATGCCACTTTGTACAACCATGTACAAGCAGAATCATCAACCACATAATATCAATATCCACATAGAGAATATAACTAAATTCCCAAACTACCCTTTTTACCCCTAATTTCCCTAATTACCCTTGTTATTCCCAGGAAATGTTTAGGTGAAGAAGGGGTGAGATGGTTAACTAAGTTATTTAATGTGATTTTACGGTCCAAGAAAATGCCTGATGAATGGAGGAGAAGTACATTAATTCCTATTTATAAAAATAAAGGAGATATTTAGAATTGTACTAACTATAGAGGGATTAAGCTCATGAGCCACACAATGAAATTGTGGGAGAAAGTAATTGAGCACAGGTTGAGATTGGAGACAAGTATTTCTGAGAATCAGTTTGGTTTTATGCCAGGTAGATCAATTACAGAGGCATTTATCTACTAAGGGGATTAATGGAAAAGTATCATTGTAAAGATAAAGATCTACACATGGTTTTTATTGATTTGGAAAAAGCTTATGACCGTATACCAAGAGAAGTGATTTGGAAAGCGTTAGAAAAAAAGGAGTACGGATTGCTTATATTAAAGCCATACAAGATATGTATGAGGGGGTAAAAACTAGTATAAGAACGCCTAGTGGTCAAACAAAGGATTTTCCTATAAAAATTGAACTACATCAGGGATCATCTCTGAGTCCTTATTTATTCAACTTGATCTTAAATGTTTTGACGGAACATATTCAAGGAGAAATTCCGAAATGTATGCTCTTTGCAGATGATATAGTTCTTATAGCAGATACAAGAGAAAAGGTTAATTGCAAACTTGAGTTATGGAGGAGGACATTGGAGTCGAAAGGTTTTCGTCTGAGTAGAAGTAAGACAGAATATTTATATTGTAAATTTGGTAAAGGACTATTCAACAATAATTTGGAAGTGAAATTGGGAGATCAAGTTATACCTCAAGTGGAAAAGTTTAGATATTTGGGAGCCATTATTCAAAATGATGGCAAAATCAGTGGAGATATTTCACATAGAATTCAAGCTGGGTGGTTTAATTGGAGAAAAGCTAAAGGAGTTATTTGCGACCGTAAGGTGCCTAATAAACTTAAAGGAAAGTTTTATTACACTGCTATCAGACCGGCAATGTTATATAGTAGTAATGCTGGGCTCTAACGGGACAGCAAGAGCATAAAGTTGGAGTAGCAGAGATGAGAATGTTACGATAGATGTGCAGACATACACGTAAAGATAAAATTCGAAATGAGCACGTACGCGAAAAAGTGAGGGTAGCACCTATTGAGGAAAAAATGGTAGAAAATCGATTGAGATGGTTTGGGCATGTACAAAGAAGACCAAGGGAGGCACGGATGAGAAGAGTGGAACATATAACTTTGAGTCCGATTAAGAGAGATAGAGGAAGGCCTAAGAGAACACTTTTGGAAGTTATTGAATGCGATCTGTTAATTAATAATATTCCTAAAAGTTTGATAAATGATAGAGCACAATGGCGTCTTACAATCCATGTAGCCGACCCCACCAAGTGGGATAAAGGCTTGTTGTTGTTGTTGTTGTACCCTTGTTATTCCCAATTCCCATGTATCACTAATGGTTTCTATTGGTATTTAGATGGGTGGACAGTAGAGTAGACATAAAAACATAAGAGGAACAAGGAAGAAAAAATATGATAAAGGGCAAAAATTGACTCACTAGCCTTCAGTGCTCAAACATAGTCTTGCCAGCTAAATTCATATACCAAATCTCAACTCTACAAAATCATGAAATATAATGAAACATCTAGGCAAAAGTTGGTAGTATAAATTAGACTAAGTTTGCTGGTAAAATAAATAAATGATTATTATACCACAATTAAGCTAAACATACAAACCCAGAAAATGTAAAACATTTAATTAGACAGTGGAAATAAATAGTCCAGGTTAAATATTGGGCTTGAGCTTAATAAATTTAAATGACTTGACTTTGGGCCTCCAAAGACAGAAATGTACCCAACCAATGAGTAGGTAATGAATCTTGCAAATGCATGAACTTTCTAAAAATTGTTATGACAGCACACACCACAATCAAAGTAGCCCTCATAGATTTCTATGTTAAAATGTGGAAAGACCACTGAGAAATGGTCAAAGGTGAAAAGAACAATTTAATCAAAGAAAAAATCATATGGGCAGTGTTCTTATTGGTGGTGAGTGATATAGAAGCCCTGCGAGAAAAACACATGATTTAATGTTTAAATACCAGATCTAAAACACTTATGGTTGTGGACATGGTTTCTTTAGGTCTTTATACAGACAAGCATGGGTATGGTTCCTTTAATAAAATTCACTGGTTCTCTTTGTCTTTCTAATCCTTTCCTCCACAAGATAAAATTTGATCCTCAAATTCAACCTTCACTAAAAATTCTTTTTCTCCATCATCTGACCATGTGCAGTCCATCTACTCAAAGTCTAGCTTTTGATTTGTCTTTCTAATAAGTTAAAGCATTCATTGGGGCTGCAGTATTTAAGGAGATCAACACTAACCAGTGTTCTATATTCTTTAGTTTTACAAACATCCCTACTAATGAAATGATCTCCGTTTTTTTTTAAGTGAATAAAATGACCTCTCTTTGATTTTACAACTCTAACAATAGAAAATCCCACATCATACTCTCTATTGTCATAGACACCCATGTGGAATGAAATCTCAACTTTTCTAAATTTTCTAAATAAAATTATGCAGATGCACAAGAACGACAATTTTGTTGATAACCATGACAAAGAGAATGTATACAAGCATTTTCTTGTAGAGGAGTAACTCAACGAGCCAAGTTGATGGGGAGCTTTTTTGTTGAAACTTCAGGGATATCTGCACAATGCGTTTTTGAAAATAGACAAACTGGGTGGGAAGTTTAATTTACTCAAAATTCAGATTGAAAGTCATATGAATATAGAAGCTACCATGCCACAAAACAATCAACAAAAGGTAGAAAGTAACCTTCAAATGTAATCATTAAAACTTCATCAAACACAAAATTTGCCATTTTATGGAAGAAATTACATGGCACATATAGATCCTAAGAATACATGTCCAAGTCCATAACAATATCACCTCACAATCTGATAAGAGACCTCTGCAGACTTATTTCAAAAGGAGAAAACATCAAAAACTGAATTAAGTTTTTTTTTTTTAATTTTTTCTGTTGATCAATTCAAATTATTTTGAATAAATCTGTTTGAGAAATTTTAGGAGTTGTTTAGCAGAATATGGAACCATATCATCTGTTCAAGTGGTTCAACATCTAGTTTGCTATTTAGCCTGTTTCATATATCTTAGGGATCATGCAAATTTTGCTTGGTTATTTCAAATGTATTCCAGCTCTATAAATAGGCTAGCAACTCAGAAGTTAGTCATATTCGAAAATAAAAGTTCATTTCATCCCTTTAGAAATTCTCCTTAGTGTTGGCCATTAAGAGATTATAGAGTGAGATACCTGCCCTATTTTTTTTTCTTAGTAGAATGCCTTTATCTTTTTTATCAATTTGAGCACTTACCACAATCACAGTCATGCTTGTCAAGAAATTGTTTCCAAGCTCCGTTAAATAGAAATATTGAATCATCATTATAATCACTATAAGCATGAAAATTCGAATCTTTTCTTTCCATTCAAAGCGTTTGATTTCTTTGAATGTCACACAACCAGCAAACAAAAATAGAACATAATTAGACTTGCAGAAACAAGCAGGCCTCCCAAAGCAAGAGACAAAAAACAAAAGAAAAAAACCAAGACTCGTTAGCTCAAAATGGCTTTCCAATCCCGATGCACATCCATATGGGACAAACCACCTTAAATGACCATTAGCTGAAACCGAGATGGAGACTAAAAAAAATCATTGTCAAAAAAGTGGCAGAAGAAATTTCTGTTTTGTAATATCTCACATTCAATTCTAACCCACAACCATGCCAATAAACTGTCAAAAAAACATCATGCGCCATTTTCTCCCAAAAACCCAAAAGCTTACTAGCTAAAGAAAAACCCTGTATATGAGCTGGAAAAGCATACATCTCACTAAAAACATGAAACAGTCTGATCAAAATCCACTATGCCACTTTGAGCCTTGATTCTCCAGGAAAGAAAAAGACAAAGTTAACATGCATGTGGATTTTGAATAAAGTTAAAGAATGGAGCACAACCATAGCAATCTGAAGAATCAAACCTCCAAACCCCTCTCTATTCACAACAAAGAAACTGAACGAGGCAAAGATTGCCATTTACAAAGCAAGATCATCAACGACCCTATCATTAAAATTCCTTTAAAAATGTCAAAATTCCAAGAAGATTTATTACTTTGATCAGTTGAAAAATCAGATACAGAGCATTATCCGAAGTTGATACATAAGATAATAGATAACCATGAATTAAAAAGATTTGCCCGCCAAGAGAAGTGCAAGCCCCTTTCTATGTTAATAATTTGTCTGAAGTTTTTAGCAATAAAAGGTCCCAAAAGAGCATGGCAATTGGAATTTCGGATTAACTTCTAAAGTAAATCAAGCACCATTTAAATACATAACACCAGCCATCTCAGCTAAATCTCCGAGACCACTAATGCCTACCAACACACTCAGAAAGAGTAATGTAAAGATCAAACTCCTAGCCCGTGTCCTAACCATCAAACATCACCTCATCCCTCTCTCACCCAAACCAACATACAACTCAAAACATAACAAAAGCAATAAGGGTGAACAAAAAAGGAGTAGGATCTCCTAGCCTTACACCACACTACCTAACCAAGACTTAGGGTTTCCATAAACAACAACAGAGAACACAACAGCAGAAAGGCAGCACTAAATCCACCGACATGTATAATTTGGGTGTTATCTACCTTTCCAATGCCTAAGCAAGAAATTACTAAAGTCTATACCAAGCATGAGTCATTGAACAGGAAGCAACTAGTTATATACAAAACAAAACTCAATTCAAGCTACACATGCCACAATAGCCAGACTAGACCCTTATTTGTCTAACATCCATGATCAGCTAATAGTAACCCCCATTTTACTATAACTGCAACTGCTAATAGTAGCCAACCAACAAAACGCCAATTTCCACCATTTTTTCCCTGCAACTGCTTCAACAAACCTTTTCCCCTATTACTATAACTCGTAAACAAAGACTTTTATACCAATCATCTTATAGTTTACACCTACGCTAAGTAGATATTAAAAAGATGCCAATGTCCATCTGAAAACAATTGAGTTTCCTAAAAATCGGTATGAGACCAATAAGCTCAAGCTATTAACAAGAAGCTTTATCTGTTCGTAATTCTCATTAAATGAATCGTTGATGACCCCGCTAAATTTGTTAACATTTTTCACGGAGCTTAATCTAAATTCTCAGTCAAATCGCTTATTAGTATTGATTACCGCGAAGAGGAGCATGGAACTTCCAAAAAAAAAAATTCAGCGTTCAACATTTTCAAAATTTCCACATAGCATCATATATTTTAAGTTACCATATGCGATAATGATACGCAATTATTTCTTAGAAATAAAGTGGGGGAAAAAAAACAGAGAGAGAATTATTTGAATTAACAATGTGAATAGATGAGAATGATTAAGAGAAGACCAAAAGACGAGAACAACAGAGAGTGAATACCTCTTTGATTTTAACGTAAAACAAGAAGATTATAGGGAGGGCCTTCTCCGCGTGGTGATCTGAAACTGAAAAATCTCACGCGAGGGGCTTGGGCGAGTGGACAAACCCCGATCCCCAAAATCTCATGCTTAGGGTTTCTAATCTAAAGTCCTCTGGTTCGCAATCCCACGCTCATATTCAGCCACTCGCGTAACACGTGTGGCGCGTGTGACGTACCCACAGGATTTGGCTTGTCACTCGTGCTCCGTGGCTTCCCCCTCAGTCGATTTAATAATCTAGTGAAGGCGCGTGCAACCAGAACGTTGCTCCTTCACATAGTGCAATGGATTTTAATCTTGTCATCATCATCGTCATCAATTTTGCAATGGGAATAAATGACACTAGATTAATCTTGGTCAACAAAAATGACACCATATTAGACATATAAAGCATCCTACTTGTTGATAATTTTGTTAAATAATCATTTTTGCTTATTTGTTGTAGTTTTACCCTTTCCCAACATTTCATTTTTAGTTCCTAATTCATATTTATTTATTAAAAACTTATACAATTGTAGGTTCTTTTTTTGTAAAGGCACATTTTTTATCTTTTAATTTTAAGCAAGGTTTTTTTACTTTGATTCCTTAGATTTACAAGATATTTTTCCAATCATGTAATTCTAACCTCATTGATCTTATTAAAAAAGGTCTCAATGAAGTATTTTCAAATAAAGAACATTACTAATAGATTCCGTGGAGCAAACTTATTTACCAATAAATCTTATGAAATTTAAAAATTATAGCCAAGTTTATTGAAACATGAGTGTAATTTAAAATTAAGTTGCAAAAACAATAATACCCTTATTAAATATATATTACATCAATTAAATAATTAATTTACAACCACTTCATCAGTAACTTACAATTATAATTTTAACTTTTTACAACTATAACTTCATATATTCAATGGTTAAACAATCATGTATTATTAATAAAATTTAATATTAACTATTTACAATTACTTTATTAGTAATTTATAACTATAAGTGTGACGTTACAATTGTAAAATGTTAAAGTTATAGTTATAAATTATTTAACTGATATAATGTATATATGTTTAATAGGGGCATTATTGTCTTTTTATCTTAATTTTAAATTACAACTGTAATGTATATTGTGGTTTCTGAATTTCTTAAAACTTATTTGTGAATGAGTTTTCTCCTCAAGACCTATATGTAATTTTCCCTTTCAAATATTGACTCTAAAGTGAATGTGAAACCACATTTTAACTCAAAAAGTATTGAATTTATAAGTCTTTTTTTATCTATATAGCTCTATTCAAGCCTAACTCTATCTACATGGTAGGACTTTCTCTCCACACTAAGCCAAGTCCACTTATACTTGACAACTCAAAAACCTCCTCCTCAAGTATAAGCCTACCGGCCTACTACAATAACTCAATCCAATAACATCGATGAGCTTCCGAGGCCTTTCTATTGTCTTCACATTGGGTCCCTTCCTAAACCTAACTTTGATAACACTTGTTGGGCCCGAGGAGCATCTTGGAAGAGGGAAAAACATAATTGGCCTACCCAACGATTCTAAGAGAATATATATAAGTGAGTGTGATATTACATCTTAACTAAAAACCTCAAATATTGAATTTATGATTTTTTTCAGTTATATACCTCTTTTTTAACTCAACTATGTTCAATATGGGACTTTCTCGTCATACCAAGTTAAGTCCACTCACACTTGACAAGTTGATATAGGGGGCCAATGATACTTCTTCCTATCTCAATTGTAAGCCAAAAAATGTTATGTAATATTTAAGAAAGTTAGTTATAATTTTTTCCACAATCTTAAAAATGGTATAATTCTCAATTCGTAATAAATGTACATGTTAGCAAACATTGACAATAAATATTAGAAATATTGATATTTTATTTGACATCAAGTACATACATGTGTTCAAATTTGTTATAACTAATTGAAATTAATTGTAGGCACAATATTTTATTTGTTATAAATCACAGCTACATAAACATATTTCGATTCAAAATTCATTTGGAAGCTATCTTAACTCCTAAATCTCTTCTCTTCAATACCCAAATTAGTTCAAATCCCTCTCCTTCTCCTCTTGATTATGAAGTGTGACAAAATAAAATATCATGTTTTGGCTTTATGCTAGTTAAGATAAAGTTGAATACATGTAATTTCTCATTTACACTTTAGGTCAAATAAAATTTCAATTTTTTTTTATATTCACGGTAAATGTTTGCAAACATATGTCTTTCTTTCAGATTAGGGATTTTTGTAGAGATAGTGATTTGGGCAAGCCAAGCTTATTTAGGCCAGCCTCAATTTAGGCCAGGTTTAAAATATCCAAACTTATGGAAAAGCTTATATAGCCAAACCTGACACTATACCTTGGCCTTTTAGCTAATTCAAGTTGGCCTAAATACTAGAAACTTTTTTAATTTATTTTTTCATTTTTAAGCTAATTTCAATTTGTAACTTAAAAATTAAGGTTTCTAATATATATATATATATAGATAGATAGATAGATAACATCATGCTCTAAATAAACAAGATAAATCATGAAAATTAGTCAACATTAACAATAAAGTTTGAAAAATTCATTTAACTGTAAAGCACACATAACGCTTCAAATGGCCTGACAAATGTAAACACCCTACTTTACAAATTATTAAAACCTTACCCTATTATAGTATAAAAGTGTCTATCATGATAATAAGAATGAAAGCATTTTAAATCACTACCATGGAAGAAAAAGATCTACCACAGTAGAAAAGAATGAAACTATCTTTAGAAAATTCTATCATGGTAAAAAAGGACTTACAAGTATCCTCTTATTGGAGGCAATCCTATTTGAGACAAGGTCAAGTATTAAATGTGGGCCCTCTCTTAATGGAGATTCAAATCTTAGTTTGCCACATTGTAAGGGATTGGCCCCTTTTGCTAGACCAAACCCTGTTGGTAGAAAATGTTAGATAAGGCAAAAACTCCCAAGAGGGGGGTGAATAGGGTGTTTAGGAAATTTTTGACTAAATAAAAATTTTCACAAAGTTTGGCACAATTTAGAAGGTGCAACATGAACATTGGAAAGAATAAGTGAGTAAACAACTCACTCATGTTGTAAGAGATTTATCAAAACACTTGATAGAATAAATTAAATTAGATTTTTACAATCAAGTATAGATGTGTGAAAAAAATAAGAGTATAAATTAAAAGATAAAGCTTTCTAAATCACAAATTCAAGAACCAAGAGAGAAAGTAGAACATAAATGTGCTGAATATAAAGAGTAAAGGGATAGAGGTACTATATAGAGAGTTTATTCTGGTTCAACCTAACCATTTGTCTTACATCTAGTTTTCAATGTCATAATTGAGATTCTTCACTAAATCCATAAGCTTTAATGGATGCCTGCCACTATAGTATAATTTACAAGTTTACTTAGGCAATTGTTAGCCATTTAAAAGTATCTCACAACACCTGTTAGTCTCTTAATCACAAGAGAACACCTCTCTTGACAAGAATAACCTTCATAAAGAAAATCTCTTCTTTGTAACAACTCAAGGATAATAGCCCTTGACTCACTTACGAATAAGTAGAAGGTGTTTCCTAGTCAATCCTCACTTAATGAGATGATAGGAATAATTTAAGAACTCACAAATACAAATATCAAGAAAATAGATAATACATTTATGGTCAAACAAACCAACTAAAAGGTGTTTTCACATAGAATGAGTGCAAGATGGTAAGATTTAAGCACTTTCACACTTAATACACTGTAAATTGTTCAAGAAGATTATTCACAAACTTAAATGAGATCTTATATATAGTTTGAGATAGTTTAGACAATTATGAACATTCAAGGAAGAAATTATAATGTTGGAGGTGTGTAGAAGTAAAGAACATAAAAAAAGCCATTTTTTTCGTGAAGCATTTAATAGTGTCAGAAGCCAATTCAAGCGTGAACTGGACTAAAACACATGTGGAATTGCTTTAAGGAAAATGGTTTTAGTCTACTAATGACAATTAAGGCATGGGACTATAATGCTCTCAAGCATGATTTGGAAGGTAGAAGTACCTAGCCTCTCTCTATGAGTTAAATCATGAGTGGGTAGCATGTGTATTCAAGCATGGATGGATAATAGAATTACTAAGCTTTTGTATGTGATGAAATGCTTGAAACACTCCAAAACAAGCTTGATTTGGCTTGCTTGGTTTTAAGGCTATCTAAGGTCAGACTTAAACCTAAAATGGGTGGGTTGCATTTCAAGTGTGAATCACCTCGATTCAAGCATGAAATGTCACTAAGGTGAAATACAATAGTCATATATGCACTAAAAATACTAACTAAACACTAATATAGTTAGTAGTTGCCTAGGTCAAATCCTAATGAGTTAGATTGAAAATTGATTTGAAATTGATTTCAAGTATATAAACAGTACTAAATTGATTGATTTTGTTAACTTAGTGTGAAGAATTAAAACCTACCTCGTGTTATGATTTTTCAATTTTTAATGAAAGCAAATGAGTGAATAAGTGTTTCAAGAATGAATGAAGAATTCCTTGGAGACTTGTAAAATGCTATCCTTGTCAAAATGACTAGGGTGAGTTCAATTCTACTTTCAATGGTCAAAATTTTGTTTAAGATAAGCCTAAAACAAGTAACTCGAGTGCAAACTAGTAATTAGACTTCTAGTGATTAATTTGGCACTCAAGTGATATTAAATGCATTGCCAAAATGTAAGTTTGATTACTTAGACATGGTGACAATCTAAAATAGTATCTATTCAAGTTCCAAACGTAGTTTAAAATATGAATTTAATCTATCCAATGGCATACAAAGTGAACATGCAAAGTAAAACTAAGAAAATAGTTCAAAAATCAAGGCAAGTCAGTAATTCCATCATGAATTTTGAAAATTCTAGTTAAATAATTCCTAATCCAACACTCAAATTACAAGCTTACCTATCTCAAATGGGTATCTAATAGGTCATATATATAACTGTAATTCCAAATTAACAATTAAATTGCAACTAAGTAAAGTTAAAATAGTGAAACTAAGTAGAAAGAATTTCTTCCCCTTGTAGACCCTATGACTCAAGCATTTCCACAAGTTCC